TGAAGTCATTTCCTCTGCTCCTGCCATTCGGCATCCACTAAACATCCGTAGGTGACGTCTTATCTGCAAGTGATGCCCCAGCGGTGCATCACGGTTAGGAAGTTCAAATCCAAACCTCCCACCAACTCTGCGTCTCCACCTGTGTTCCCTCTCTTTGGAAACCAGATGGACATTCCCCCAACCTCCCAAGCCAGAAAACAGGCTGCCAGCCTGGATGCCCCCTTAGCTCAGAGCTCCTTAGCCTGTCGCCTCTCCCCCGTCCCAGCCGCTGTTATTTCCTGTTTAAATTGCTCCCATGGTCTCCTAGCAGGTCTCCTGGCTTCCAGTCTTGCCCCATCTCGATCCATGGCATGGCCTGAATGATTATGTCTGAAAGCATTTTTCATTGCACAATCCCTGTATTGAAAACCCTCTTGGTTCTCCACTGTTCTCAAGCTGAGTTTCAAACTTGGCTTTGCACGTGCTGTTCCCTCCGCCTGGAACAGCCTCTGTCCACCCTTGTGTCTCCGTTTAGATGTTACTTCTGGAATACTACCTCCCTTATGCAGTATTCCCTTTGGAGCCTTTGCTTATCACACAATTGCTGTTTCTCTATTGCCTAGCACTGGGGCTGGTGCTAATTGAGTGTTCACTGGCTGAAAAGCAGGGATGGGAGGGATGACTACCTGCCAATGGCTTTTGAACTTGCCACAGAATCACCTGGGGGCCTTGTGAAACCGCAGGCTGGGCTCCCACCTGACTTCCTGATTCATGCCGCCCGGGGGAGGCACCTGCGGCTGCTTGTCAGGGGTTACGAACCCCCGCTTCCTGCAACATCAAGGTGCCTGAGGGTGAGGGATACTTTCAAAGAAAACCGGAGGTGCCGTAAAGTTCTGTACCTCTCTTCTCCATAGCTTCCTTAACGGTATTTTATGAGATTTTAGCTTCTGAAAATATTTTCAGGAAACTAGTTGGGCTCTAAGGTAACCAGAGCACATGCCCCATTAGGGCTCAAAGGCAGCACCTGGAGGCTCATTAATGGGTTGCCAGGCAACGGAACAAAGGTGCGGCTGAGGCTGGGCTTAGCAGTTGGCAGGGATCTGAGTGAAGGGCTGAGGCCTCCAGTCGGGAGAGTTCTCCGGGGACAGGGCCCAGGGACCGCTCTCAGGCTTGCCCTGCATGTGCAGTGGTGGGGCGTGATTGGCACACGGAAGGGCACAGCATCCCTGGTGGACAAGTTCTTGTTGTAACTTGGCCTCTGATGGTTGGGGATTATTTTTCTCAAAAGCACTGAGAACCCATTGGGGATGTTTCTTAATGAGGTATAGGTAAGAAAGGACTTCTTTCTGCTCAACATCTGCTTTTTAAAAATAAGCTTTATTAGTTTATCTTCATTATAAAAAACAAACTTGGAAATTTAAAAAGCAAAAGAAAAGCATGTAATTCTATGTCCCCTGAAGGAAATCCTGTTTTGAATTTGACATCTATGTTCTAAGAAAAAATAGGATTATTCCACATTATAGACATGCTCTTTTATAAGACAATACTTACCTGTTTAACTTGATTTTATAAAAAAATACCTCCATAGAGCAAATATTTATCAATGTTTCTAACTATTCTTTTAATACTCATTAAATCTGCTCTATGTACTGTACTGTCTTTATGCCTTTGTGAGAATCAAAGACAATACCTATTTAAAATTTAGCAACTCCAGCATGGCTGTTTAATTTATATATTCACCAAGAATACATGAGTGCATCTCCACAAACCCTCTGCAGCTCTGGCCATTGTCTGTTCACATTTTTTATTGGCCCTATTGCTTGGGTCTTTTCATGTTTGGGATCCATTTCTTTGTGTCTCTTCAAATGTTTATTTTCCTTTGTATTTCTCTGAGATGTGCCTGTTCCTGTACTCTGTTTGTCATTCCATGGGCCTTGCTTGTGTTTTTCCCATTGATGTATAAAAGCTACCTATATGGCAAAATAGTACTGCTTTCTCTAGTTGTTTTTTCCACACGGACACAAAGATGCCTCTGATCTGTAATATATATACAGCTGAACTGTTGATGTTCTAGGAAGTTGCAAGCTTTCCTTTTAAAATCGAAAAATAAAATTAAAATCCTATCATTTTTGGAAGTTTCCTTTTTATCTCCTGGCCCATAAGAGGGAGGAGAGAACACAGAAGGAAGCCAAAGAGAAATGAGTGCAGAGAGGAGGAGAACACGAGCGAGGGTTCCAGTCCTCACATTACATTCCCAGGAGACTGGACTTACACAGGAATCACCTGGAGACTTGCTAAATGCAGGTATGATGCGGGAGGTCCAGGCTGCCTTGCTCACGGGCTCCCAGGTGAGGCTGATTGTCAGGCCAGCACCCGTGGGCTCAGGGACCACTCTGATTCCCCGGAAATTATCATATGTTTTGAAAACTCTCTCCTCTCTCTTTTTAAAGCAGAGAGAATCCTAACTGCTTGCTGTGGACAGCCACAGGTCTTTTTTTTTTTTTTTCTTTCGAAAAGAAAAATATGTCCGCTTTCCTGGAGTAACATCCCTGTGCCTCCTAGCCTTGTAGAACATCCCACTAAAGACTTTCCAAGGCCAACGTGCAAGCATAACACGTCCTCTTCTCGGGTCTTCTTGTTGGGCTGGGTAGAATTAAGTTGAGGGGCCAGTATGGAGGTGCAGAGGGTTAAGCTGCCACTTTCGATGCTCGCCTCCCCTATCTGACTGCTGGTTTGATTCCCTGCTGCTCTGCCCACAGTCCAGCTCCCTGCCGATGCAGAGACAGCCGCAGAAAACGAACCAGGTTCTTGGGTCCCTGCTGCCTGGATGGAGTTCCTGGCTCTTGGCTTTAGCCTGGCCCAGCCCTGGCTATTGTAGCCACTGGGAGAGTGACCCAATGGATGCAGGTGCTTGCTCTCTCTCTGTCCTTCTGCATGTCCAATAAATCTTTTTTAAAAAAATTGAGTTAGAGATTAATTGGCCTTTTGGACAGAAGCAGGTTTTTTTTTTTTTTTTAAGAAGGAACAGCTGTCATTTAAGCTGCCCCTCCCCCTATAATGACCTAATGAATCTGGAAGCAGCAACACAGTCTGAGGACGGGGCTCAGGAGAGGTGGATTCTGGTCCTGGCTCTAACACAGTTGTTTTGCATCTATTAAACTTTCTTGGCTCGACTTCTTCAACTGCAGAACGGAGATGATAATAGAGCCTTGCTCCGCGGGAAGATTTGGAATAAGAATTTCCCAGAGGGGTCCCTGGACTTTCTCTAGGAGCAGTGACGTCATCCATCTCTTACAACCACCCCTGCACCGCCTGGGCTTTCCAATCTCCAAGCAAGTTTCCACAAAGCTTTTGGCTAACTGCAGAATACATCACAGCAAACGAGGCTCCGGGCACTTCTGCAGGGTCCTGAAGCCAAGAAGTGGCCCGAGCCCTGCTCATGCCGGCACTGTACGGCTGGGGATACGGGCTCCAGCTCCGATTCGAAAGCACACTCATGGACATAGGGCTGCTGACCGAACACAACCAGTGGCTCTAGCAAGGCCACACCGGCACGAGGGAGGGGATGGAAAAGCAGCATTTATGGAGTGTGTTAGCTCACTTTCCTGCAACAATCCCGGGAGATAGGGAGTGTCCTTCACTCTGGGCAGCAATGGAGTCAACAACTGTCCCAAGGTCACAAGTAGGAAGACCTCAAAGCCCCGATCTGCTCCAGGGGTGTAGCCCAAACCTCAGTCTCACAGCAAAGCAGAGGTGCTCAGAGCAATGGAGACTGGGCAGCGGGGGGAGGGGACCTGCTGACCTTGGGCAGGTCATGCCACTTGGTTAAGGCTGAGGTTTCTCCTGCCAGCACCTCTCACACACAGGCAGTGAGACGGCGCCACTGCTCAGGGCTGGCCCACAGAGAGCCCACTGAGTAGCTCAGGGCTGCCGGCAATACCGACAAACAAACGACAGCCCACCCGTGCCCCCGTCTCATCTGAGGACAGCAAGGCGGGAAGACACAGCCCGTTTCGAAGCTCCGCGATGTTGTCAGAGAACAGAGCATCCATCTCTGCCTGCCTTTTTTGGTGTGTGTGTGTGTGTCCCTTCTAGCACGGCGTCGGAAGGGGGCAAGGGGCAGGTCGAGGGGGTCCCACCTGGTCCCACGTCTGCCTCCTCCACGTGGCAGCTGCCCCGGGTCTCGGTTGCCCCATGCTGGCCAGCACCCACAGGTGCTCTGCAGGCTCCGACTCCTTGGCCTGCTGCTCCCCACTCTCCCGCCCGGGGTCCAGATGCGGACCCCACCAGACGCGGCTGTCTCTCGGGGCGCACACCCGGGCCCCTGGCCCTTCCCCACTGGGTGATCTCACCCGGTCACCATCACGTGCCCCCGGGCTCCTCCCGGCTGACTCCCAGCAGCAGCAGGCTGGGTGTCACCTTCCAGCCCTCCTCCCGCCACGCGCGGGCCTCTCCGCTCCGGAGCGCTTACTTCACCCCATAAACTCGGCTAATGCTTACCACATGCTCGCCGGGCGGCCGGCCCGCCCTGGCGGGCGCTGAGAAACCCCTCCCATGACGGACCCTTACTCCAGACCCGGGAGCGGCGGAGGCGGCCTGTGCTGCCGGCCCCCAGGACAAACATGACCTTGGACGCCTCTACGAAGCCATGTCCACTCCTCTGAGCAGGCGGCGGCTTTGAACCAAACGGTGCCTTTTGTCCCTAGCGTTTAGGAAACCGATGGCGCCCGTTTCTCGTTTGCAATTACGGCAACTTGGCGCGGAACCCCCACGCCCCCTTCCACTGCGCCCCAAGCGCAGAGCCCCGGGCGGGGAGCAGGGCGGCTCCCAGGGCGCTCGCAGCGGCGAACCCACCCGCCCGCCGCTCCCGCAGGTCTGCGAGGCCCGCCACACCTGCACGTGCCGCACCTGGGCGCCCGCTCCGCCACGGGGCTCGGACGGGCGGCGCCGCCCTGCCCGCGCGCCCGGCCGTGGGGAGCGCGTGCCGTAGACGCGCCGCCTGCAGTCCCCGCCGCGGGTCCCTAGGGGGCGCAGCCGGCGCGGGAAGTCGCCCGAGTCCAGCGCCGCTGCCGGCGCGAAATTGCAGGCGGGCGGGCGCGTCGAGTTTGAAAACAAGCGAGGGCCGTGGGGGCGGGCCCCGGGAGCGGAGCCGCCTCCCTCGGCCAATCAGCGGCGGGCGGCGGGCGCGGGCGGCGCGTGCGGCCGGGCTGTGAATGGGGAGCGGCGGCGGCGGCGGCGGAGGGCGAGAGCCGGCGCGCGGGCGGGCGCACTTTCTCCTCAGCGCCGGGTGGGGGCGGCGGCGGCGGCGGTGCCTCAGCGCCCGGCTGGCCCCTCTCGGACAGCGCGGCGGAGCCCCGCGTTCCGGCCTGGCGGCGGCGGCGGTCGCCCCGGAGAGCTCCGGGCGTCGCGACGAGCGCTGCCCCCGCTGACAACTTCTCCTCCGCCTCGCTCGACCCCCGCCGCGCCCCTCTCGCGGGCACCCGGGACGCCGCCCCTCGGCGCTGGGCGCCGCGTCCACCCGGGGCCGTCCCGGCCGTCCGGTGCGGCGTGGCGCTCCGGGGGGCAGCTCCTCGGCACTGGTGCCGGGGTGCCCGGCCCTCGGTGACCGCCGGCGGCCCGCCGCCCCCGGAGCGCGCGGGGTCCTGGCCGGGCCCCCGCCTCGGCCGCGAGCGCCCGGGACCCCGCGCGGCGCCAGGCACCGCCGGGCGGCGGGCGGCAAATTTCACCCCGGGGCCCCGGGCGGTTGGGTGCTTGCTGCTCCTCCAACTGCACTTGCTACGGGGCGCTGGCTCAAGGTAGGCGCGGGCCGGGGCCCGGGAGTTGGCTCCGGGGAGGCGGGTGCCGCCCCGGGGGGCGGGCTGCGGAGGTCCCGCCCCGTTTCGGGGTGCAGCGCGGCGAACTTTGCGAACGGCGGGTGCGCGGTTTTCCCCTGCCGCCCCCCCGCGAGCCGCCGGGCCAGGACTGCGGCGCGCGGGGTGCCCCGCTAGACCCACCCGGGGCGGAGGAGGGGCAGGGGAGCGCCTCGAAGCCCACCCTGCAAAAGGAAAGCCTTGCAAGGCGGGGAGCCCCAGGCACCCGCTCCTGGAGAGGCTGCCCGAGTCCGACCCAGCGCGCCGAGCTGCAGCCGCTGGACGGGCGTCGCTCTGTGCCCCCGCGGAGTCTGGGCGGCGGTGCGGGGCTCGCCCCCGCGGACCCCCGACCCCCACCCCCCCACCAGAGTCAGGTGCAGCCGCGCCAGCTGCAGGGCGCCCCCCTCCCGGGCAACCCCGGCCTCCCGCAGCGCCCGCCTGCCCCGAGCCCGACCCCCAGGTGGGACCGAGCGGTCGGTGGAGCAAAACTTTCCGTGCCCACAGCTGTGCGGCTTGGCTTTGTTTCCCTCGCCCCGTGGGCCTCGGTTTGGAACACAGGGGTGATCACTGCAATAGGAAGCGGCGAGCTGCCGGTTCCAGATGACCTCTGGCACGGCGAGGAGGGGTCTCCGTGAAAGGAGCTGTCCCCGGCCGGCCCGAGCCCTTCGCCCGCCCCTCGGCCGGCACCCTGTCCGCTGCAGTTCGCTGTCTTACAAGAGGCGGTGGGGGAGAAACAGCCGCCGACATACCACCCATTTCGGATGAGGTCTGTAGGTTAGCCAGGCTCTTCTGCTGTTGGCAGCGCTAGTCCTATTAACTTTGGGCTGTGTTCATTAGCTGTATCCTGGAAAGCCATCGCGGTGAGGAACTGGGTGCTCGGAGGCTGACTGACGTGGGACAGCCTTGAACTCCAGTTCTGCGTCACGTGCGGATGATTTAGCTTACTGCACAGGAAAGGGTTCAAACGCACCAGCATGTTGAGGGTCCGAATTCAAAGCCCGCATGCCACAGTTTAGAAGCGAACTCAACATTTTTAAACTGCTTATCTAATAGTATCTGAATTGTGCCTCCCCCAGGGGTTCATAAATGGGTTCCATGAGGTCTTACTACGTGAAAACAAATCGTCCTGCTTATGCTCAATTTAACTCCAGCATTAGTTGTACAGTTTTCATTTCTATTTGTGCTTCTTGTCTAATATCTTAGTCTGGAAGCAAGGCGTCTGTTAAGTCATTTTGTAAAATGGGATCTGGATTGCCAGAGAAGCCAGGTTTAACTGAAGAAATTGAAATCACTTGATTTGACCTTTAGAATAGAAATGGTGTTTTATTATTGAGTTTCTTTTAAAAAGTGACTTTTTAAAAAAAAAAGTGACTTGCACTTTACAGTAAGATATTTGCATTTGTGTGTTTGAAGATGTGCACAGATTGAAACAGTGGGGAAAATCAGTGGCTTTGTTTTGAAGTTTATTACATGGATGTAAAGTTTTGGTCATTGGCACTCTGAAGGCTGTTTGAGGTATTTTTACAGCTGAAAAATGAATGAAAATACATTAATTAAAATACTAAGGCAACTGCCAAACTTTCTTAGGGAGGAATATTTTATTCCTTGTCAGTAAAAACATTGGTATCTGTTTTACATTTATATGGTTTGTAAAAGTGTACAGATCTTTTAGTGTAGAATTTCAAATAGATTGTCACAAATTTTAAATTCATTGACAGGTTTCTGTTCTCTGTGCTCTGTGAAATGTGTAATATATCCATCATTTTTTATATCATATTGAAAATTCATATTACAGAGGAGATGTCACCGTTTGACAAAAGCTCATGTATCTTGAAAATGAAAATTCTGGTGCTGCTATAGCGATTTCTGATGGGATGATGAGCCGGTCATATGCAAGGAGTGTGATCTCTTGAATCTTATCAGATACAATGTAATATTCTAAATGGGGTAGTTACCAGTAAGTTGCAACTGGTCATAAGCACCATGTTGTTACTATGTAGCGAGGTGAAGCTATTGGGTAGGCTGGGTCATATCATCCTGGGGGAGAATAAATGCATCCTTTATCAGTATAAGTTACATATAATCAGCAGAAGTTGCAAAAGAAGATATTGTTGACCCTGGAGGCAGTTCAGATCTTACCAAAAACAAAAACAAAAACCACCTTTTTAATGTTCTGGAGTAACTCTGTTCTACATGGTAATAAGGAGTTGCACACAGATTATTGGTGATTATTTAATTGCTTGTGACTTTTCTAGATACTTAGAAAGCCAAATCTTTAACTCTGAAAGGCAGGTGGCAATACACACTCTCTTTATACTTTCTGCTGAGAAGATAGGAGTGGCTTGGGAGAAGGATGGATCCTAAGTATCGCATGTGGTCAGTGGTACCTTTAGCTTGACTGCTGATGTATTGGTTCTGGTGGTTTTCAGGACACATCATAGATGGAGTTTGTACTCATCAGTCCCAGAGGGATAGGAGTGCTCTTGTCAGTTACGGTCCCTGGTTGTTCATAGCATGCAGTTTCTCCCTGCAGTTGTTTCCAGTCTCTGAGGCCAGTGGTTATCAAACTTGGAGCACACACTCTCCCCCACCCACCGGCTCCCTGGGGGATTGGTAAAACTTTAAGGGACCACCTCCTTCTGTGCTAACTTGAGCTGCAGCTTGCTTTCTCTGGAATTGTGGCATACACTTGAGTTTCAGAACCGCTGATGTGCACTGCTTTGTTTCTCCTCACTCCAGTCTGCTGATTTCCCCAGAACTCTCTAAGCTGGTGTTTCTCAAGCGTGGGTGCACATTGGAAGCACTTGGGAGCTTTCAGTGTTGCGCCTCCATCTCTCTTCTAGACTTTGTTGAATGGATTTGAGGTTTGACCTGGGTGTCGAGAGAGCCAGGCTGTCCAGGTGATTAGAATGTGTAGCCAAGTCTAAGAACCGCAGCGCTTAGCCTTTAAGTGAGATCACAGGATTCAGTTTTCCTTCAGACATTGTCCTGGGCGTCCAGTCATCCCCCAAGTCATTCCAGCAGCTTATGGACCTTAAACCTGTCTTTACTAACACCTGTCCCAGGTTCATGATCTCTCTGAGCTACTTGCTTTTAAGCTGCGAGTTCTGTTTATTCCTGTGCAGACTGCTGAGCTCCTACTTGGGTGCTCATCTGGAGCATGCATCATAGTCACCGGTGAAATCCTAAAAATAATTGAAAATTTGAGCTCCACTTGAGGTCTGTTGACTCTCAGAATTGGGCATTTTTTAGAAGTTTGACAAGTGATTCTTGTCTCTCTTGTTACATTTTTATTCTTGTGATGGTTGATCTCATAATCTCTGGGTTCTCTGCCACCCTAGCATGCTTTCCTGTGGCCAGGATCACTGTGTTAAGTCAGTTCCCAGCCCTGGGTGGTCTCCTAATTAGGCTTTTCTGTCAGTTGTTTGCTGGGGAAATTACAGCACAGTGTTAATCGAGGTCACTGCAAGTCTGGTTTCCTTTGAGCCCGCACTGCCTTCTGTGAATCGACAAGTGATTCGTTGCCCCTCTTCCTCTTATCCCTGGCCCCTTCCCCTCACAACTTTAACTTGAGTTTCTAGGAGTCCCAGGCTACCTTGCTTGGGCTGTTGCATATTTAACAGGTGGTTGTTGGCTACCTTGTTGGCCTTGCAAATCCAGTAATAGCCATTATCACCCTGTACATCCAGGAAGCTTCCTGTGCTCTCAAATATTTAGGTGAAACAAAGTGGAAAGACTGCAAGTTAAATGGGTAATTAAGTGATGAATGATAAGTCTTTCTAGTTAAATGTACCAACTGCCTTGTACAAGGGCACTTCAAAAAATTCCTGGAAAAAATGGAAGTATGTTGGCCAGAAAAGTTGTGAAATTCATGCATTTTTTTTCACCATACCCATAGCCATGGGCTTTTTGAGGAGCCCTTGGGTGGTTTTTGCTGCCTAGGATGGGGTGTGTGAGATGGCGTTGGTCTGTGGCAGGCAGTGTCATTCTGCTTGCTCTCTGTCCTTCCTCAAGGTGTCCAGGAGCCGGGAGACTAGGGATATTGCCTGACTACACATAGAGAAGGGAATGCACATAGCAGCAGGAGGAAACAAGCTGGATTGTGATGGCTCATGGCTTCAGTTTCTCTAAGCAACTTAGAAAATAGGAATTCTGAAAGTAGGCCCTTGAAGTCCAATTCATGAAAGCAGAGGGTGGGAATGAAAATCTGGGTGAAAGGGATAGTATGAAGAAGAGGAACACTTAGGTTAGAAAATGCAATACTGTTGATTTCAGTTTTATTGTTTAAATACTCTTGGTATACAATGATACATTGTGTGTAATGTAGGTGAGTATCTTAGTTCATGTAGTCCTTTTATTCTGATTTGACTTCAGTGGTTCTGTAACACATTTTCTTAGTTTCCCCTGAATTTGTACACTTCCCAATTAAAAAGTCATGAACAACTGTACCCATAATCCTGAGGGAGAATATACGGTTAGTTGAGCCTGCAAGTGGCACCTTCTGCCATCCTCTGGTGGCACATAGAAATTACAGTTAAAATTTTTAGTGAATTCCTGAAATGCAAATCCATCATAGTTTGACCATACCTGAGACCTGTTGTGAAGAAGTTTATTGCAATTAATCTTGGAACTTCATTATATTAACACTAGTTTTACTGTATCCAAACATACACACCCACAAATATTTGGGATCATTGCTTCAGGAATCTGTTTATGCATTTGCTGTGTTGGTATTTAGGTGATCTGGCTTCCTGACAGTTCTAAAGCCAGAGACTCATTGCATTAGGCTGGCCCCATTCCCCTGTGGTTATTGTGGGAATGAGAATATTTTTAATAAAGCTTTCCTAGAAACACGATGTAGTGAATGGAGAAGGCATTGGGCTAAGCGCCGGTAGCTCTGGTTTTATTTCGTCTGTGACTGCCTTGCAGTGTGAGCAAGTCGGGTAGCCTCTCTCGCTCTGTTTGCTCGTCTATAAAGAGGGAGGCGGTTAGACTCACTGTTCAAATCTGTTCTGCTCTGATTCTCTGATCTTCTGTATGTTGTCACATCCTTTCTGCCCTCACCAGACTCTCTAAGTGTGTCTCCTCTTTGGGGATTCTGTAATTCCATATGTCTTAGTCCCTGGAATTTAACTCTCTTCATTTTAGTTTGCCAGGTATGTTCAGTGTTGAAGACAGCATTTCTCCTGAGATGCTGCTAACACATGATGCACTTACTGTAGCCTTACAATGGTTCATGCTCAAAATTTTAGGTTCTCTAAAGCAAAGTAGTGGCATAATTTATCAATGTAAGCTGTAAATTTGGAGAATTAAATAAGCATCTTATTTTAAGAAAATTTATCTAAGTGGTCAGAAGAAGAAAGAGTAATGAGATTAATAGAAACCTACCAAAGGTAATTGATGCTCTGAGAGATATAACAAGATATGGGATAGGAATTTGTTGTAAGTGTTGCTGTTTACTGGACAGTGACCATAAGTAATGAAAGAGATTAGTAGTTGGTGTTTGAGTTTTCTGTGCTCAACCTCATGTTGTTTTGGCTTAATTGTCTTCATTATGGACTTTTAGTAAAGCAGAGAGTCCTTAAAATTAACACAAGAATTATTTTTCACTTTAATAGGCTTAGTTGACACTAATGCTCAGGCAATATCTAGTGAAGATACAGCTATCAATCCAGTTTCTTGACAACTGATATGATTTATTTATTTACTGATCTTTGGAGATTAGCTTGTTGAATGGGGCTAAGAAGGTACTTCTTGATGTTTTTGGCTTTGTTATATTTTAAAAAATATTATGATTTTTAATCGAGTAGTCTTTGCAGATGTGAGCTTTAGAAAATGGGCTAGACCCTGGAACTCATATTATGATGCAGAAAAAAAATCAGGTTTTGGTGCAGTGGTGTGCTGCTTTTTCTGAACTCTGTATTCTGGATTTGATTCTTTAGCATGTGAGATTTGCAGTGCTCTGTAAGTTTGATTTAACACAGGTGATGTTTTCAAGAAAAGAATATGGGGAAGTAACCAAAGAGTGACTGTGGTGGCCTAGGGGAGGAATATGAATCCTACTATTGTCTCTGTGACTATTGATAATAATTGGGGATGGGAACTTGAGTACCCCAAGAAATCTGAGTATTTCAGACATGAAATAAGGAATTTTTTTTTATGTCATTGTTGTAACCTAGTCACATTTACACAAGGTGGTCACTTCCAGGGGTGGTAGTGTCTGTGGGTTTGTTTTTTTTTTTTTTCAATGTAGTCATAAATTTATTTGTGGTATGTTTCTGATTGTCAGGGTTTTTTTTCAGAGTGAGGTTCAGTTCTGCCTTGACTTCTCCCTAGATGTTGGAGATGATGCAGAAAGAACAAGATAGTGTGTGACCAAGCCCCTCTGTACGATGGAAGTCAGTGTTGATTTTATATACAAACCACCAGATGGCAACAGAAAAAGTCTTCGCATAGAATATAATCTGTGGTTTCCACAACTCCATTGTTTCTTCTGTGGCACACTACTTTACAACATATTTATGCAATAGGTAAAATTTTTGGTTAAGAACAAGATGAGTTTATAATACTTGATGATGCAATATCACAACTAGGAAAGAGGATGGTGGGGAAGGATCAGTCACCTAGATAGAGTTGGCATTTATGCTGTGTTGTGTGGGCTGTACCCAAAGAAACAGGGACATAACATGATGTGTATTTGTTTAAATGATTATTTATTTGAAAGTCAGTTGAACAGAGAGGGGCAGAGAGAGAGAGAGAGAGAGATACCTACCTGCCATTCGCTGCTGGTTCACTCCCCTACCGGCTGCAACAGATGGAGCTGTGCTGATCTGAAGCCCGGAGCCAGGATCTTTGTCCGGGTCTCTCACGTGGGTACAGGGGCCCAAGGACTTGGGCCATCCTCTACTGCCTTCTCAGGTCTGCCATCCTCCACAGCAGAGAACTGGATCAGAAGTGGAACAGCTTTGACTTGAACTAGCACCCATATGGGATGCCAGCACTGCAGGCAGTGGCATTACCGCTTTGCCACAATGCGGGCCCTGATTTGTATTGTATAGTTATGCTTTTACTTCTGATGTAAATTGTTAGTACTTTAAATTTGAGAGGCAGGGAGAGACAGCTTGTGCTCCAATCTACTGTTCAGTCTTCAGATACCTGCTGTGTTTGGACCAAGACTGAAACCAGCCACCAGGAACTTTTTTTTTTTTTTTGACAGAGTGGACAGTGAGAGAGAGACAAAGGTCTTCCTTTGCCATTGGTTCACCCTCCAATAGCCGCCGCGGTCGGCATGCTGCGGCCGGCGCACCGCGCCTATCCAAAGGCAAGAGCCAGGTACTTCTCCTGGTCTCCCATGGGGTGCAGGGCCCAAGCACTTGGGCCATCCTCCACTGCACTCCCGGGCCACAGCAGAGAGCTGGCCTGGAAGAGGGGCAACC